ATATATAATATACATAAATAGAAATATATGTATATATATAAATATATATATATGAAATAGTGGCGGTGCACACGTCCACAGAATATTTGGTTAGGGTACACACAAAAGTATGTTTCGGATGTCGAATAGATACAGAGATAGATACACAATACTGACGGCCTTACACCATCTGGAACAGATTCCATACGAGTCGAAGTATGGACGTTTCAAGAAGTCATATAACGTGTCGGTATCAAAACAAAAAGAAGATGTAGGCTCGTCGTAAAACAATGACGCACGCATTCGATAAATATCTTCAATCTCTATACAACTATACGGTCGACTCTCATTAGTATCCGCCACACTTATGTAGATATGAGCACATACCCAACTTCTCATCGGGGGTTAAGATGAGAGCCATGAGATCATCCGACCTTCGTGGATTCACCAAATCATCGCCAATTTTGAGCTCATATAAACAGTACGACTGTATCCATGCACTCATCAGACTGTGTAGCTGTCGGTGTTTCTCCTCCGCAGACGACATAAGCGGATCACGCACGGGCCAGTCAGCCTCTGCCGTGTCCACACCCTTCTGTACAGCCTAGTAGGTATTGATACAAGTATGTTTGTGATCACCAACCGACTCGAATACGGCTTTATACAATATTTCATCACACTCTACATGCAGAAGGCAGTGTAGACCACGAATTCTGCACATACCCTCTCTAATGCAATTTAGGTGCATACTCAGCATTTGTACACATCAAGACACTGGATATGAAGTGCTCGTGAAAACTAGTGAACGAGAAGTCGCATCGAGTAAAGCATATATAAATACACGATGTCAAACCAGATCTGAAATGCAACAAAGCTATAACACCATTATACTCCTCTCCAAATTTTCAAACAAGGCATGCTACCTACTAGCTCCCAGAAAACAACCACGGCACGCCTTGGCGTACGTAAGTACCACAATATGGTCTGCTAAACGCCAAACTCGCGCACTATACACCACTATCCTATATACAGAATTAATTTCTTATAGCTGGTTATATTGTCGTTTTTTTTCACGGGTAAGTACTGTCGCTAGATCAATATGGACGGCTTGTAGGATATTGAGGACCTAGATTATTTTACAGCAACGGGGTAGAGTTCCGGCATAATACAGCAGAAGCGACACACCCCAGTAATTAACACACATACTTCCACATTTGTAGCGCATACCTCAATTATAAGATTGCCAAACAAGCCCACACTCCCTGCACTCACTCCCTGTATACCATACAGATCGCCATGGCTCGTGGGGACCACATGCACAATTCCCGCCATGACGTCATCGCGCATAAAAAATTCTGGCGATTTGTTGTTTTCTCTCGCGATTCTGTCACGCAGAATGGCCAACTCGCGCAAAATAGCCAAGTCCCTGCCTTCCATCTTCCGAGTTTTACGCACAGTTTCCCACTACGTGCATGTGCATGTACGTATCGATAAATTGAGCATCATTGTAGCAAATGAATCTATGGAACAGCAAAATACGTTCATGTATGCAGATTGCGTGTGTGCGCGTACTAATGAAGGATAAATACTAAGCTTTCCAAGCACATGCCGGCTTTCCAAGCACATGCCGAAGTATTTGAAATATCCCACGTTGAGCGGGTCACAGACTTCCTCGGGTGAGGAGAAGATATAATACTCGCGATCGTAAACATGTTTCAGCGGGAAAATTGCCGAGGCACCAAAAGAATATATGATGACAAATGCGAACGACAGGAAGATAATGAGTTCTTAAGGAGCGACAAGTAATCAGTATGTAGGCCAGGTAGGTCCGGTTCCAACTGACACATGCTACTCCGACACAAAAAGATACCAAAAGATTCACAAGGTTCAATACTAGAATCATGAGAATAGACCAGTGGAGTCATAAAAATATCAACTACGCGGTCCAGCACGGCAAAACAACATATAACTAAATACTTACCAAAGTTGACGGGTCAGGTGGCGCGTAGGTTTTAGGGTCGGACTTCAGCTTCATCTCCTTCCTAAACATCTCCAAACGGCCCAGAGCTTCGAGTTTCTCAATTAACACTTCACGCGTCTCTTGCAGGTAACGCACATCATCGGCCGCGTACTTTATTTGGTCTTTGGTCAGCGGTCTGTGCGACCAGTTGGAGAGTGTCATTGACTTGTCCATCTCTATGCTTGGTATGCACTAGTGTAGGTATGAGAGAATGAGTATTCATAAGAATTGATGAGCAAAACGAACAAAAGAGGAAATGCATATAATAGCTAATCGAGAGGGCGTGTATGATGGTAATTGCGCAAATATCGAGTACTAATTCGTCGTTTCCTGACCGAGGTTCAAATGGAGACGATACAACCCGATTCCTTCAAAAGGAGCGTATTATGTCAAGGCTTCGACTAATCGCGAAGATTTTTTGAATAGATGAATCGTAAATGAAAAAAGATTCTGAGATAGAATGCCACATGGCCGTAAAAGCGACGATATGAGCTAACGACAGACGCTAGCAACATGTATGCTTGTTTACATGTCGATGAGAACAACATAGCATGAAGGAACTCACTGTCACTTTTCGGCCAGTTGATATGCATATGTGGAAATTGAAGGCCGAGATCTTAAAAATAGCACTCACAGGTGAGAACCAATATATGTAGGCAGCGAGACAGCTCTGAACAAGTAATGTGCCAGCTAATTAGCGCCTCGTGAATACCACCAAGTACACATTTCCAAAATAAAGTTAAAGTGTACTCACCGCTTCCACTACAGCTTTCAAACCGAGCATAGGACCCAAGCCAGCATAACTGGCAGCCTCTTGTGTGTCAAATATATTGTCGGGCAGTGTGTCTGCAGTGTGTGCGGAGAGGAGTGACAAAGTGATAAGTTCTAGCTAAGTAGATGAAATGATTTTGCCAGTTGTGTACACTCTTGTGCAAACTTGTCTGCGTATGCGGGTAAAGTGACGGGGCAAATTCTGCGTTTGGACAGAAATTTGTTGTAGGTGCAATACGAGCAAGATTTGTATGGCCAGGAGTCCAGGACGTCATATCAGAATTGGTACCGAGTTCTCTACTTTTGTTTTAAAATCTATATATTAGTTTCAACAGCGAACAAGGTAAGCACACTTGCACAATTTGACCAGTCAACTTGTCGACAAAATCATACCGCAGAGGTGACCTATTAGTTTGAGGTCATAGCCTCCTGAGTGGAATATACATTCTTTATCCTTCCATGCCTGATGTATCTCGCGAAGCCCAGCATTCTTTACCTTTTGATAATCCACCACGGCTAAGATATCTGGCGTGGAAATCTAGGGATGTGTATAAGGTATAGAAAACAGCAGCCAATAAATATGTTATTTCCGATTTTGACGCTCAAGTTGTAAAAAAAAGCAACAAGACTACAAAACCAGCACCTGGAAATGGAGAAACTGGACCTCGTATTCCTAAACAAAACAGACATAGCTAATACACCCAACACCCGACACATTCCACAAAAAATCCTACCCCGATTCAATTACTGGGGACATTTGCTTCACTATATGGCCATCTGGGCACAAATCGCGAGGATGAAGCCGAAGAATACCTGAACAACTTCTAATTTGGGTGCGTAGAAAGGATGGGCGATAAACTCGGTATCGATGCCCACCGTTTTGGATGCCCTAATGTACTGTGTTAATTCCGCCACCTGACTAGGATCGTCGACAAACAACTCTTTTCGGCCGTCCAACGCAGAAACTGAAGGATTCAGGAAAAATAGATCAGTCTCAGATAAACATTCATTTATTACGTGGTAGTGCTGGCGGGTATATATATATATGTATATATA